CTCCCTAATCACTAAAAAGCATATTTGTGTTCTGAGGAAAGGCTTTGTTTACTGCAAACAGGGCTTCAATTGTCTCACAAACAAACAGCAACAAGCAAACACATAGAGAACAGCGAGGGTGCTAAGAAGAATGCCCATTTTCTCATCCTCCTGAGTGGAATCTGTCTGAGGTCATCTGTCAGAGGGGTGAGTGGAAGATGCTGGCTTATTCAGAGTGCTGTGGCATAGGTCTATGTGATGACCAGCCAGGCAATGCTGCCCCAAGGGCAGGAGGAAGGCTGGGCACTCACACCAGAAAAGATGGTGCTGCCTCTCTCATGCCACGTGCACTTATAGCTCATTAACTCAAGGAAGGCTTGTCTGTGGCAGTAGCAACATGGGATGAGGGGTAGCCACATGGAGAAGGAAGACAGGTCCCTAAGTGGAGCTGAGCTCTGCCTTCTGTCTCCTACTGGAAGATTTTTCTAGCTACTCAACCAAATCATTCAATCTTTGACATCAGAGGTAAAGTCAGATGGTTGTGTTGGTACCCATGGTGCCAAAGGGACCACAGAGCTGAAGTGAAATGACAACAGTGGATATTTCTTACGTGCCTCTTACTTTCAAACTAACTTTCCCTTTGTGTTCTGTGACAGGAAGACTGGACAAGTTCTTCAACCTTCTAGATACAGGGCATTTCTTCTTCTCTGCTTTTGATCCATCCTGGGTTTCTTGTAAGCTTCTTAAAGGCTTGTGTGTGTGTGTGTGTGTGATCTCTCTGGCCTGGGCAGGATGAAGCAGCTACAAAAGTTGAGACTTTCATCCTTTTTCTTTCATGGAGGCAGTTGGTGTTGCAGCCCCTGAAGTGGCAGGGTGCATCCCCAGAAGGGAGATCCTGAGTTGGGCTCCAGCTCCCTCTTTTCCTGCTTTGCTGACAGTTCCTAATAACACCGCTGGCATCAGGGCTCTGCAGACGCAGGAAGGAAGAGATGTGTTCTTTAATGATGGAAAAGTATTAGAGCATAATGCTCTCAAAATAGAATGTGTGCTCCTAGCCTTTATTTTGGGGACTTTATTGTTGTAACTGTCTCTCCTGGGAAATGCTGTAGGAGGCTCTTCCCCTTCAGTGAAGCAGAGTAATTGTGTAACCTAATGTGTCCCGAAGGGAGCTGAGGTGGGTAATGTCGACACACAGGCTTGTGAAATATGACTACATTTTTATGTTAATCAGTGCTCAATAGATCCCTTGCCTCCAAAGCGCCATTTCTTTGAAGTGGGGACAGTCATATGCATGCTGCCCACCCCACTAGGCTGTTATTAGGATTAAGTAATAGAATGGACAGAGTATGTCTGCAAACTATAAAGTGCTACAAATACAAAATGTCGTTGTTGACATTGAAGCCCTGGCCCTCTCTGTGGGATGGAGGGTCCCCTTCTACTTTTCATTTTTTATTACATAAACCTTAGCCATATTACTGAAATTCACACTTCTGCTTTGACATGGCACTAGATGGGCAAAATGTTCAGTATTCACGCCAGAGAACTGATATGAAGTTTTGCTAAGAGCAGCCCACTTTCTCCGCACCCCTTAATGTGTGTGGTAAGGGAGTTGTCACGAAAGGACAAAAAGAGAGCGGTTGGCTTATGAAATGGTTTTTCATCGTCTTTCTCATCCCAGGAAACCCCTGGGAATCTGCATGAGTTTCTTTCATGTTGGCGTTCTGGCATTTGATATTTTATCCAATGTCACCCTCATCTGTTTTATTTTTTTTCTGTTGAAATCCATCAATGAAAAGTGCTTCTGATTTCATGGTTACCAGCTTTCCCCCTTCATTAGCTTTGCCTTATTTGGACCATTATTCAGCTGTTAGCAGGACGGATGACTTGCTTTGGGGATGATGTTGATGATTCTCAAGAGAGTCTTCTATCTGAAGGTGATTAGGAAGAATGAAAAACTTGTTAGCTGCCTCAGCCAGTGTCAATGGGCTGGCAGGGACCTGTGTCCTGTCTCCTCTGCAGATGTCCTGGGTCCCATTTCTTAAATTATAGTTTATGACACTTACCTTTGACCAAAAAGTGCTTAGGTGGAACCCATGTTTTACCAGAGAAAGGGTGGAAAGCCCCCCCCCAGAAGGACCACTGTCAGTAGATATGAGTTCCAACCTCTGTGACATTTTTTGATGCTAGACACCAAGAGGGAAAAGCCCCGTGACATTTGTGCATGCACATGTGTGCATAGATATGTTTGCAGAGGGGAATGGGACCCCCCCCCACCATTCAGCTGCCTCTCTTGATTTGCTCAAATTTCATTTCCATTTGCTAGAGGGACATCTGCACATTTCCCTGCCAACTGCATTTAATGCACATCAGTTCAGCCCTAACCCTCTGTAGAGGTCAACTGCCCCTTACCACCAGGCATCCCTGGGGGGGTTAGAGTGAGGGACACGCAATACTCTAAATGGAATATTGAAGATCCCCATCTGTCTGGCAGTCCTAATCAATAAATGTGAGCCCTTCGTTCCCACTTCTCTACAAGAGACACGTCACCACCTGGTTTTAAGACAAGGGAGAGATGTGGGTTTCTAAGGGTTACTGAGTCCAAGCACCCAGCTGTCACAAGGGCTGAGCCAGGAAAAGGATTATGCTCTTAATCATGTTATTTTGTTACCAAAGCGTTCTTTTAAATTCCCCTCACCCCTCCCCCTCAAACAAAATGTACCACTGTCTGAAATTAGAGGTGCTTTTCTAACACTTTTACTTGCTGAATGACTTTTTGTTGAAAGAGCTTTTGTTCAGGCAGTAAAACCTAGGTGCTGGGGTTCAGGAGCATCTTATTTGGCTTCTGCCAAATTACAAGGCTGAGCAATGAGACCAGTTTGTGTTTACCTGACATGGCCCTTAGGAAAACATTCAGGTCTAAGATGTCATCTCTGATCCCTTGAAACACCTAGTCTGGTAGCTGCATCAGGATAGCCACTGCTTTGAATCAACAGTCTAAAAAACACTGCAGAAACCTTCAACCTTGTAGCATTCAAGCTAGCAAGCAAACACAATGAAAAATCTGGGTTGTCTGAGGCAGTTTTTGTGTCTGAGCAGGGATATCCGGGGGGCCCAGCTAAAATACTAGCTACACCTGTTCAGCCTCTTTCACGTCTTCAGCAGCCCAGAACAAAGCTGACTGCAGCAAAAGCCACCAAAGTATCAGGCTGCACTGCAAGGACTGTATGCTTCAAACCCCTGTGATCCATGCTTCTTTCCAGCCTGCTTGCTTTGGTTAGCTGAGGGTATCGAGGAAGCCCAGCTGGTGAAGCGTGGGTGTGTGTGAAGGGCTTCCTGTAAGAAAGGATGACTGAGAAAGATGGGAATGCTGTCTAGAAGGGTGAGCGGGATCAAGTCTTTCTAGCTAGTACTGCTGTACTGATCTGAATGAATGGGGAAAAGAGACCATGAATTTGTCTTCGGAATAGCTGCTCTACCACCAATTTTGGAGCATGAGCAAATCCTTTCACTCAGCGGACCTCAGCTTCCCTTATTTTTAAAATGAAAGTGTCTTGCTAGATGTTGGCCATTCTGCCAGTTCTAGATAAGACATTTGGGTATAACTGGGCAGGGCTAACCTGCCAATTACATACAGTGGAAGTTCTTTCTGGCAAAAAGGGATGATCACAGAGATGAGTCTGTCCTAAAGAATCTGAAATTGGATGTAGGGTTTTCAATTGTGTTCTTACCCACTTGGCATGCCATCTGGCACACTGCCCAGCTGGCCTGCAGTCCCTCTTTGGGCCAGTCCACTTCCCACATCATGGCCAGGTAGCTTTCCCAAGCACAAATGCGTGTCTGTTGCTTTATTTACTCCAAAGCAGGGGAGCACTCCACTGCTTCAGCTAAAATTCTAGCACATGGGAACCAGGTCCCTCCTGGCCTGTCTCTAACCCCCCATTTTCCCAAACTTACCCTGCCAAATGTCTCCCAGACCCTGCACAAGGCATGCTGAACCTTTTGTTTCTCAAAGAGCATACCTGCTGCCTTTGCAAAGGATGTCCCCTCTGTCTGGTCTAGTTGTTCAGAGAATTCATTCCTTAAGAACTAGTGCAAATATTGTGACCCTAACCTCTGGGGAGCTTCCTCAGTACTTTGTTCTTACATCCAAATGGCAACTAGAAGGCTCATGTCGGTCTCTCTTTGCAAATAAGGAGGTAGAAACTACATTCTAGTCAACTTCGTGCCTAACAGAACCAGGTGCTATGGATGCGATTCAAGAAACACAATTGGAAATGGCAATCCAAAGGTAACTGGGCCACTATAGGTATGAACTGAGGCATCAACCTGCAGCTTCTCATACTCAACTGGCTTAAAATATCATAAAAAAAAAAATTCAGAAGGTTAAAAGTAAAATACTGTATCTGAAGACCTATTTAAATAATTGTTTTAAAAACAACCCTAGAGGAAAACCTCATCTAGACAGTTCATAATGCTCTTCTGCAGAAGAAAAATCAAGTGCTATGTCCCAGTATACCTCCAACCATGTCTTCTGGGTTATAAAAGATAAATGCTAACAAGGAGTAAAATCCAGCCCCCTCCACCTTATTAATATGTAAAAAGACTGAAGTCACATCTGTGCAAGGATCTATTTTTAGTGGACCCTACATACTAAAATCCTAGCCTTGATCTCTTAAACTATCAAGCCTACCATAAATGTTTGATGATGAACAAGCCCATAAAAAGAAAATGCATAAAATGAATAGAGGGAGCCAATGTGTGCTCTGCCTTTTAATTACTGGTGGCTTCTGCTAAAATCCTGCTTCAGGCTGGGTTCAAGCATAGAAACACATCAATAATTGGGTGCGGGTGGCTGGGTGTGGACACTGCAAACAAATACATCAAACTATACTGTTATTTATGCTTTGGAAGCCAGATAGAAATGGAGGAAAGAGTAGAATCATCCCCACAAAGAACAGGGAGGAGAGCCGCTAAAAAAGGAAAAATTAGGAGATAAATAAAAGCATTCAGGACACAAAAGATAATGTAGAACAGTCTGGTTTTATTACTTTTAAGTAATAAAGAGCCTCTTCCTTGCTTTTTTTCTTTTTTCCCTTTTTTGCTTTTCTTTATTTTTCTTTCCTTTTTTACAACATACATTAAGTTGTGAATCAGAAGTTAGGGGATGTGGAGATGGAAGGAAAATTGGTGACATCACAATATTTTTACAACTTTACAACAAATATAAATCTGAGTTTGTTGCATCTACCAGTGTCTAGCAAGGGTGGAAAGCAAAGGCACACTCGGGTTTATGGACCCTCCCCCCACACACAGTGGGGAAAAAAAAAGGGGGAGAAATACTTAAATGCAGAAGACCAGCTCAGTACATGTGGGCATTTTAGGGTTAATACCAGAAGTGATGCATTGTGGGGGTGTAGGAATGTGGATATAAGTTTTGACACAGGTCTCCTTAACAGCTGAGGCAGCGATGCCCACAAACACAGGACAAGACAGCCGCTCATGGCAATGATGGGTGCTTCACTGCCATACTCTTGGGAGTCAAGCAAGGGAAAGAAGGGGGCAGGGTGATACAGACCCATCGCCTTCCTAGTTTCTGCATTTCTAAAGAAAATTCAAGGAAGAAAACAATATTTCAATTTCTAGAAAAGACTTCAGGGTTTCAGGGGACAGAGTTCACAGGATGTGAACATGGATTCCATTACAAAAGCCCCCCCCCAAAAAAAGTAAAAACAACAACAAAAATCTACCCTAAACAACAGCAAAACTGCAATGGACTTTTGGAACAAAGGGGTCTCACTCACCCTCAGCTAAGTACTCAGGTCTGAAGCCAACCACACTGATTACGGAAGCTCCACTTTTTCACTATACAACTTGAAACTGTCATTGCCAGTCTTTATTTTGAATTGTTTTTAAAGGCAAAACTAAACCCAGAAGATCCAACTGGAAATAAAAACAGACAAAAGAGACCACCAAATATACTGTTTAACTGTTTTAAAACACCCAACAACACTGCTCATGGTTTACAGTATGTGGACAGTTCCTTTGTTCATGATAGAGTAAACAAAAGTCCCTTTTGTGTGCTTGAGCAAATGAAAACCAAGGGGAGAAACACACACACACCACCTCCCACCCCCTAAAAACAATAACAACAAAAGGGTAAAAAAATAAAAAATAAAACAAAAAATCTTTTGCCCCAATGTTTTTGCAGCATCCATTGTGGTCCGCCTTGTACTTTGAGTTACTCATTAATCACAGCAGGGACCAGCCTGCCTGCATCTATTTCCATTTCATTTCTTTGTGTGCACTGCATGTGTGTGCTGTACACATGGCTTGGAGACCCCTCCCAGGTGTCTGCCCAACCGCACACAGCCTGCTCTCCAGCCAGTGAACACAGCAAAATACTGGGACGTTAGTCCCTTTTCTGCTGGCCAATAAGGATATCACCATATTGAAATAATCTAAGGGAAGCAGGGAGCTCTGGAGGAAGAAAAGGGATGTGCCACCCACAACACTGGGGCCCATGCTTGCAGCACAGCCAAAGGGTGGTTCGAGTTGGCACGACTAGAAGGCAGTGTGAATCGGAGGGTGTGGTGCCGCCCAGCGTTCCCAGGCTGTGGCATGACAGCTATCACCACTGCATTCTTCCATCTGCTTGACTCTAATCTTCCAGAGGACTGGAGTGGGGACGGGGGGAAGGGAGGGTTAAATAAATATCTGCACTTATTTCAAAAGGGGGAAAAGTTGATCATAACGACAGTTTACAAGTCTACAGAACTCAAGGTGTAAGGCACAAATTTACATGTGGAAAACAGGCTATATTCACAGATGTAACCTCACGAAAAACCCGTGTGATCAAATCATTAATTTATGCAAGGTAGCAGCCAGCATATTAATTACTTCACACCATTTGTGGATTTTGTTTGCTGTCTCACATGCAAGGTGAAATGAGATGGCGTATTGCAAGCTGGTGCCTTCACAGAAAGTCAGAACCACGGACAAAGCCGTGTTGGCACCAATGGGATATGACGTGCCATTCTAAAAGCTTCTCTCCTGATTGCTTTAGAAATTAGGATCTGGAAAGACTTTGACATGAATTAATTTTTTTGTATGTTTATAGGTCAGCAACCTGACCAGCATATGAACTGAGATTTAAATAAATATCCCCCTCCTAACTTTTTCCTTCAGCTACAGACCAGACAGTCCAAACACAAAGCTCAGAATTCCAGCTCCAACTTCTTTACTCAGTGAATTTATTGTAAAAATAAAGAAACTCAATTATTCCAGTTAATGGATTTCACGTTAAATGTTTAACTTTCAATGGGCTTTCTGAAGAGTTGTTCGTAGGATAGTATTTGGAAGAGTCCTTTCCTTAAGGAAAAAAAAGGTGAACAATAAATAAAGAGTTACTTGCGTTAACGGTCACGTTATTTCATTAAAAGAGAGGAGGAGCAGAAATCTATGACATAGTTGCCCAACATGGCATTTATCTGCTATAACAGAAAGCTGTAACACTGGCGGGCATTTCACAGTATTTGCGCATAGTAAACTTCTGCCATTGTTAAAAGTCTGAGTTAGAATTATCAATGATTTCTTTTTTTTTTTGTCTTTTTAAATTTTCATGATTTTAAAAAATGTATTTGTGTTTTGCAGGTTGGAACGCTAACCCAGTGTGGCCACGTCCCGTGCAGTTATGGACGAAATGTTTCAGTTTCTGTTCACCTCTATGTGTGTGTGTGTGCGCACGCGTGTTTGTGCACGTGTGTGTGTGTGTGTGTATGGGGGATGCGGTGGGTATGTGCTTTTGGCTCATGTTTGTGATGATAACTGAAGTCTTTTGTGGGTCCGACCTGTGGTAGGGTGTGGAGGAGAGTGAAGGAAGAGAATGGAGGTGAGTCCCCGCCGTTGCAAACCTTCACCAAACCACGCGGCCCAATTTTCGTGAGTACCCCTGTGTCCCAGAGAGGAGGACCCAGCGTCCTCGGCTCTGCCGCGGGCCATCTTGGTCTGGTGGCTACTCGAGGCAATTGAGAACCTTGCTGAGCTGAGCGGGCCCCTCGCCTTGCCTGCTGGTTCGACACCTGACCCCCTCCCCCGGGATTATGTACACGCATCATTGGGCTTCATGGATGTGGAAAGGGGAGCAAAGGAAGGTTTGGGGGGTACATCCGGCTTTAGCGAGGGTGTACGCTTCAGCCCCGACCTCGTCAGTGAGTTGTAGGCGTTGAGGCTGGGCTGCCTCGAGACAGTCACGGCCTGGCCAGATGGCTGGGAGCTGTGCACCTGGATGGAGTCCACCCTCTGCGGGGCGGGCGGTGGGTTGTCTCCCCTGCCAAAGCTCTGGTTTCTGGAGAGGTGAGAGGAATTGGAGGAGTTAGTATTGTTTCTTTTGAGAGTAGTGGCCTGGTGGCTTCTCGTGAGGGAGTTCGTAGGGTAGCTCCTCTTATAGTCAACCCCGTAGGAAGAGGAGTGGTGCATTTCCAGCCGCTTGCTCAGGCCGGTCTGAGACAGGGAGGCTCCCGGGGGGCCCAGGGAGGCCTCCCGCTGTGGAACTTTGGGGGGCAGGCTGTCCAGGTTCTCCACAAGGTTCACCCCATGGTTGGGACTCTTGCTGCTGAGATGTTCCTTGATGGTCTTATACTCCAGGGTGGCGGCCTGGTCCTCCAGCGCCATCTGGGCCACCTCGCTCATTTTGGGCTGGTCCACGTACTCATGCTGGTAGCCCTGCTGCGTGATGGGCAGGACCACCACGCTGGGGATGTGGCTGGGGGAGGCCCGCAGGGGCAGGTCCGTGGGAATCACAGGGGAGCCCATGGGGGGCATGTCCTTTGTGCAGGCATTGATGAGGTTCTGGTTCCTCTCCCACTCGCGGCTGCCGCGGCTGGGCTTCCGCTTCTGCTGCAGCGTTGGGGTAGACTCTGGGGTGGGCAGGGCCGTCAGGTCCAGGTGGTGCTGGTCTGCCTTAATGAGCATCTTGGCCGTGTTGCCGGGAGTGGTGAGCTTGCCGTTGTGCATGAGTGGCGTGAGGATGGCCTCTGGCTTCGGGTCTTTGGATTGGGTGTCCCCAAAGAGGCCACTGAGCTTGGTGACGCTGCTCATGGAGCCCCGGCGCGAGTGGGTGAGCTCCTTCTCTTTTCGCTGCACCACAGCCACGTCTTTGCGCCGGTGATCGCAGACGCAGTAGACGATGATGCCCGAGAAGACCGCCCCCATGACGAAAGCCAGGATGACTGCAATGGCCAAGAGGGTGACCGGAACCAGCTGGTCGTGGCCTTTGAGGTAACTTTCCCGAATCACTCCTGCAAGAGACATGGCATATGGCGTTAAGAAATGAAAGCACACCCTGAGGCTTGTTTTCGTTTGCCATTCACCCTGTTAATTAATAACAGTAATAACTGACAATAGCACTTCTGCATAACTTGTCTTCCAAACTCAGCTTGCCAAACATTAACTAATTAATCCTCCCCAATGCCCTCATGTGCAGTATGTAAAATGGACTCCATTTGTTGCCTTCTTTGTGGTCTAAAAAAGTGCTGTTCAGTACAGGTGCTGTGGCTCACGCCTGTAATCCCAGCACTTTGGGAGGCCAAGGCGGGTGGATCACCAGGTCAGGAGCTCCAGACCAGGCTGGCCAACATGGTGAAACCCCGTCTTTTCTAAAAACACAAAAATCAGCTGGTGTGGCGGCAGGTGCCTGTAATCCCAGCTACTCAGGAGGCTGAGGCCAAGAACTGCTGGACCTGGGAGGCAGAGGTTGCAATGAGCTGAGATCGTGCCACTGCACTCCAGCCTGGGCCACAGGCTCATCCCCAAAAAACAAAAAACAGAAACAAAAACAGTGCTGTTCACTCTCTCCAGTACCTGCGCTTTCTACTCTGCTTCACTCCATGCAATGTGGCAGGTTTTGGCTTTCAAAAGTTATTTATCTTTCCCTCTTTATGGCTTTTTAATCTTCCCCTCCTAGAATTGAGATAACCATGTTATCCTGAGTCTGGAGGAAGAGGCAACAATTTCATGCATGTTAAACGAGCGAATCACACAACACTCTAGGCTTCCAGTTGGGATCTTTTCTGACAACCTTCTTGTGGGCACTGGAGCCTCTGCCTGGGGAAAAGTGTGTTTGCCTTTCAAGCAACTAGAGGAAAGAGTGTGTGTGTCATTTTTATTTACACTGAGAGAATATGGCTCAAGTTCACGGACTACAAACGTTTGTGCTGATTTTGCATCACCTGTCTTAAAAAAAAAAGTGCAAACTCAATTTCAGGTAAATATGCTGAATATCTGAATGAAGCTCTCTCACTGGAGCTGAAAGAAGGTTTAGAAACAAGACCATTTGGGGCCCTGTAGTGGATTTGAGTAGTGTCAGGACCCATTATTGCACCTAGAGTTTGCTGTCACAGTGAGATTGTTCAGCAGAACTAATCTCTTCAATTTAATAAAAATTACGTGACTACACCCATCCATAATCTTACACTCCATTAACCAGGATTCAGTGTTTCTGAAGGAAGGTGCTTTCCCCGCTCCTGCTTAATCAGCCACCAAGCTGAGCGACTCTAATCAAAATGCAAACACTGAAGCTTTTATTTTTTAATGCCAAGTGAGAATACACATCACAATTGTCAGATCTTAAGTGCTTGATGCAGTTGCTAAAAAATAAAATCTCAAATACCTCAATTCCTGCCTCTGGAGAGTGAAAGAACATGAATACATTAGAGGCACTGCATGGGCTGAGGAAATGTAAACATTGTTCCTATTATGGAAATGATAGCAAGACAGAAAATGTACCTTCTCTGGTCTCAGGAGACACATATTTCACCTACTAAATCAACTCTTTCTGGAATATGTTTAATATATTTTTCTGGCAGGTATCAGTGGCACAGACTTAGAATGAAAGGAAATAAAAATCTCCACCCCTTCCCAAACCCACAACATGCAACCGTTAAACTTCTGCTGAAATGTTTTCTTTGTCACAACTGAGACCTTGAAGCTTTGTCATAGGGGTTTTTCTGCTAAAATGTTTTGATTTCTGAAGTGATGGTTTTAAAACCCAGAAAGCTTAGCCTGAAAAGTACATTCTCTTTTTGGGTTCTTCTCCCTTCAATTGTGACATCACAGTTGGTTGCTGTGGAAATGATTGTCCCGTGACAAAGGATTGTGACTTCAGGTGGGGATAAGTAGAAGCAGCAAATATCTCTTGAGAAATAAAAATTCTGTGATCCAACAAATACCCTCAGTAATAAAAGGTAGTCGAGGCCATTCACCATAAGGAAAGAGTATGCAAGATGGTAAGATATCAAATAATTTCCAAATGTGACACTTCTCAAATATTTCCAGATTTATCTCCATCAGATTTTGAGGGTTAGAAACTGAGAAGCAAAAAAACAGCCAGAAAATTTGGCTATAACGCACACCTTTTATGTGTGGAGCTCCCCAAACAGTGGGTTGTCCTGCATTCAAATATATTTTAATACCTATTCACCAAGGAAATGTGCTAATGAAAATTTTTTCTTAAATTTGCATTTCCTTGTTATGCTAAAATAGAAATTGATTTTCTTTCAATTTTGATTATGTGTGGGGTTCTACTGAACATCATTTTCAACCCCCTACATATAATTGCACAAAAATGTACATCTGTGGTTAAAATGGGTTTTCATTTCCCTCACTGACTTGGTGATTTCAGTGGGAGTTTAACACAGGCTAGGCCCCAGTGATGAGTTGGGGATGTATCAGGTAATTTTTTCATGGCAATGAGTATTTCATGGAACCCTTCCAGGCAACCAAATTTAGGGGAACTGGATCTTCCCAATAAATGTGTGTTGTAATAGGAAGCTATCTACAATTGACTTTGGCATTCTACAGTTTAAATTGCCCTATCAGTTTAAAAGGAACATGGAAAGAGTAAAGCTAGAGCAATTCATTTGTTTCACTGGGAAACTTACAAATTTTTCACATTTATCCATTGCTTCTTAATCTTACTTTTAGCTCCCAAATATCATTCTTCTTTCATGTCTGAAGGTCCTTGGCTATTTTGGACTTATGAAAGCTACTTATTCTTTCACTGGGAAGAACTCTTTTTTAGTGGATGATATTTGAGTGCAGGTTTTGGGTTGTTAAGTTTAGTAGGATCTGACCTTTCAGGAAATGGTATCTCAGACAGATTTTTTTCCCCCCATCTCCTTTTGTTATATAAAGAGTGGCCTTAAAAATATTTTTGCATCTTTTCATCTATCCATGGGGAGGTAGAGGGCTTTCCTCATCTGCTTGTGCAGATTCAGAAACATCCAAAGATAGAAAATAGATCAGAGAATAAGTTGAAAGTGCACTTGAAGAAGATAAGGTAAATGTTATTTTGGAAATGTCTTTCCAAAGCTTTCTGCTTATATCATGAAAAAGGCCAAAGAAGCATTCAAAGAAATGATCAAATCAACTTTGTGGTATGGCCATCGTGAAGGCCTGGAAATAGCAGACTTGTCAGGGGTGCTGATATAAGCAGCTAGAGAAGATCTCAATGGGCTTGGAGTTGCAGGCTCCCACTTACTAGCTGGGCAGCCTTTTGGCAAGTGACTTAGCATCTCTGGGCCTCAGTTTTTTCATCTGTAGCATGAGGCGAACACATTTAATCTTATTACCTTACTGGGTTGTTACAAGAATCAAAGGAAATAGAAAATAGGAAAGAGCTTAAATGCTGTAGTTTACTGGACAAAGCTAAAGCCCAAAAGAAGCCACAAAGAAGAAGAGGTGGGTTAGTGGTTCACAGAGGGCTTCCGAGCGATAGTCGCAACTGCTCCATTGGATTCCATTTGCTATTGGTCTCCCACGGGAGAGGAGTAGACCTGTGCTTCCAGGTCCAAACTTCGTGCATCTAAATGCAGCTAAAAGGTGACATGAGATGTTAAAGCAATGTAAGGGAACACATACTGTTTCAGGATGCCTGTAGTTACTGAATTTGCAAATAATTAAAACAACAAAAGTGGAAAATGTTGGCAGTTATAATTGGAGTCTCAGTGGAATACTGATCCTGTAATCACCTCTTTGAGGGCAAGTGCCATATTTTATCTGCATTTATAACCCTTGCCATCCACAGAGCTCTTAGTTGGGTAAGTCAATAAATGATTGCTGAATAAATGGGTTTTCAATACACTGTAAAGCTATTTTTAAATGAACTTCTAAACTTGGGAGGTCATCTTTAGAGTGACTGTCACCTTGCTTTTGAAGTCATGGAAATAAATTCTATCTCTAGTCACATAAAATAATTTTAACAGTAGCATCTATCAGACAAAAAAAAAATAAATCTATAGTGGTGCTCAGTATATGCTCAAAATAATAAGAAGAGAAACTATTTCAAAAATGAAATTCATTCTGGGATAAATCCAAAAGAGTCAATGACAGTAAATGGGTTACTTGCAACAACTGAGTGCTCCAGGGGAACTGACTAATTAGAAAAAGAAAATGCATCTCTGCAAAGGGCAAAGGGCAACAGGCTAGAGCTGAGTATCCCTTGCTCAGATGCTACATGGAAACCCCGGGCAAGTAGAAAAGGGCCCATGGAGGGTGGTATACTGCCCTTCCCAGGTATCCTCCCCCACTGCAGAGAGAACAATCAGAGTTGGTTTCTCTACCTAGGGTCTTGAAATTCCTTCCTCTACCAAACCCTGGGTCTTCTGCTCTCACCAATTGAAAATAGGCATTAGTAATGAAAACAGTATTTGAAAAATCCTTTGCATTGATTCATTAACACCAGCTATTTCTCACCAGTCATAAGGTGTTAAATGGTTATTCTTTCCACCTTCCTATTACAGGAAGCAAGGCACACACTGGCTTAGAGACTTCTCTGAAATCATGTCTGAAATCGGCAGAACTGAGAAAGAATATAATCTCAACTGTTGGTTTCTTTCTTTTTTTTTTTTTTTCCTGAGGTGACAGAGTTTTCAGATGCTGGAGGGAGGCCTCAGAGAGGCAATTTGAAGTTCTTTAGAAAGCAGTGAAAAGATTATGAAGGACCCAGCCCCTAGGCCCTGCAACATGCGATTCAAAATAAGAACAATTGTAAACTGTAAAGAGGAAGCACAATACAATTCTGACTTTTCCTATGATGAGTATGTTAATAAATTTTGAAATATCAAACACCACATTCCTTATTTTAAAAAATGTTTTCTAGTAGCCCTGCTCACGGATAGATTCTGTACACAGGGAACCTAGCACCAGGCTGAGACGATTTGCTTTAGAAATGATGTTTTCCCCTACCTGAGGCTTGGGTTGTGTCTTTATGATCTCTCTCCTGGTATAACAAGGTTTTGGC